AAAAAAAAAAAAGGCTCTGTGAGAAATAGTCCAACCATCACCACAGCCCCTCTTCCTGCCTGTCATATCTCCTTGGCCTGAGCTCTAATCTAGTGGTTCTCAGACCTTGGGCTATGAATTCCTTAAGAGAAAAGGGGAGTGGGGTGATCTTGGAGCTTTTAAGAGGTGCACGAGTCCATATACACAAAAGCGTTGTTTGTGAACAGAATAGATCATGTCTAACCTATGTCATATTTTTCAAAACCTATGTAAATACCAATGTGATTAATTATATATGGGATTTTAAAGTGTTAATTCATTGTAGTTCTCCCACCCTCACTATATAGTTACTCAATGGTGCCTAAGAATACAGATTCTGCCAAGTTTTTGATTAGAAGTTGGTGGCATGGGATAGTTACTAACTAGGAAGTGGCATGAAGGAATTATCTGGGGTGTAAAAAACCCTCTAATATCTTGATGTGGATCATAGTTACACAGCAGTGTGTAAAAATTAAAAATTCATCAAGCTGTACCCTTAAGATTTGTGCATTTTACTGTATGTAAATTATGCCTCAATAAAAAGGGGGTCTTCTTACATAAATAGGTTGGGAACCACTATCCCCCAAATCCAGGCCATGTTGAAATCTTTCCCATCTGTAGCAAATGGAAAAAAAGTGGAATATTATGAGTTTGTGATAAAGCTAAATTTAGTGAACCTAAAGAAATGTCCTTTATTCTGAGAATCTTTCTTACTTTTTTGGTGTCATTTATTCTGAGTACTCTTCCTATTCTTTATGTTATTGCAATCTCATTTCTGTAAGAAAGAATAATGATAATAAATGACAGTAGTATTTTCTCTTTTTGTTTTATTTTTGTATTTTTCTTTTGGTATTGTTTGGTGTGGTTTAATACCTTTACTTGGCAAAACAAAAAGCTGATAATTCACTTTTATTTTTTCTTTAAATAATTCCATGAAATGAAAATGTGTTCCAAACTCTCTAAGTGACTGTTTTCCTGGTCCAGCTATACTTTAAAACTGACCATTAGCCCACCCATCTACTCTAATACCTCCACCCTATTCACGAGCCAAGGCAGAGAAGTGCCATCCCCATACCAACCTGCCCTTCCCCTCTTTGCAGCACCCAAGGAGGTGGCTTACTCTCATCTGGTGAGTTAGAGCAGAAGTTCCCTCTCCCATTGACCTCAAGAGTCCTTGCAGAGGCTTGATAAAGTCCCTGAAGTGGGGACCTATATTTATTGAAGTCCTAGTGTAGCACATGCCCAATAAAAACATTATAAATTATCACATCTCAGAGGAAGCAGAGCAGAAACTCTGTTAGGAACCCATCCACATTTGCAGATGGGGACTCCATACTCTACCTTCAGAACCAGGAGTCTAACTGTCCAACATTTGGCTAAGTTTAACTAAAAGAAAAGTCACCACCACTATCCCAAATAGACTGTTAAACAAACTCTCCTACTACTGCTATAGCCCATCTCTCTGTGATCAAGGTTACGATTTTAACACATTTTCAGATTTTTTCTCAAGAAGAATTTTTGACAAGGTGTTAGAAAACTGCATTACCTGTAAAATCCCTTGAGGTTCACTCTGTCCTTTATCAGGTCAGCTGCCTGAACGATAATAATATTTCTCAATGCTCTTCCTGCACAAGAAGAATTCTCTCCATAAATCTAAATGGAAAAGGCAAACATTCACTGTAAATTTAGAACAACAATGTGACAATTTGTGAGCTGCTGACAGCATACTACATATAAAAGATCATGACCAACTCGCTCAGCTTAATACACTTATATTTTAGCCTATGTAGCTACAGACCTACAACTACCTATTTTATTTAATTTTTGCTATTGGTCTACTTATGCTATTAAGCTATAATAACTATTTTCCAAATGTTAAATTGATTTAATTATAATAATCTCCTTTTACACAAAGTTTTCAGGGTAAAATATCTGTTTTTAAAAATACAATGTTTCTAACAATACAGAAAATTGAAAAATATTTATATTACTATATATTAACTCTGTCATATTGATAATGCATTCATGTAAAGGTCTTGAAAGATGGGAAAATAATTTTTTCCTATCTAGTGAGCATCTTGCAACATGACACAATCTGAGAGCAGGCTGCTGTCTTCTTTGCTTTTAAGCTTCATTCAACTGCAGAGTTCATAGTTAATTCCAAGCATTCTGGTTTCATCCACTTCACGATTCTGTCTAGCAGACAAAATTTTCATTTAACTTTTTTTAATCTTCTAATTCGCCCATATGCATCTCTGATTTTTGGAGGATGAAGGAGGGTATTGCTTGGATCTAGAGAGGTCTATGTCCTACTTTATATATTACCTGTTTTCTCTATAATTGGCACCTCCCTCCACAGCACAGTGCTGCTCCACAAAGGAAGTTAAATGAAAATGAACTGTCTTCATAAGGGAAGTCTCGTGAAAATTAACATATATTGGGGGTGTGTGCTTATATCTGTTTTCCTGTTTCTTGACGAACTCTTTTTGCACCTACAAAATATTTCATATCTTCTCTCAAAGCAAACAAATTGATAATATATTGACTATAATTTGACAGGGAACACTCCAACCTCATCCTTGTACTTTTTTAATTTTCCTGTTATCACCTCCTAAAAACAACCTGATGAGAAAGTGAGAAGGGCAGGACATGATTTGTTTTTAAGATGTTAAAATTAGGCAAAAAACACACAAAACCTCAACAAGTCAGATGACAGAAAGTATTACCATAAAAGAGGTATGAGTCAGCTGACCCTTGATTAGTCCTGACATGGTATCAATGTTCATTCAGTCAACCATTCAGAAAACATTCAATGAGCAGCTATCAAGCCCCATTCTAGATGCAGGGGATACAGTAGTGAACAATGCCAATAAGGTCCCTGCCCTCACAAAGCTCAGTGTCTTGTTATTCTAAAAAATGCAACTCTTTGTCAAATGATTCTTTAACACAACACAACAAAGGCATCCTCATCTTTTTTTAATGAGCATATGGGGGTATTCTACTATTAGATAACTACAAACACAAACAATCCCTTTTTACACAGTTTTCAATGTAAAATATTCACTGTTTTTAAAATACAGTTTCTATCAATACGCAAATTGAAAATATTTATATTATGTACTAACTCTGCCATATTGATAATGCATTCACGTAAAGGACTTGGAAGAAGGGAAAAATTTTTGTCCTATCTAGTGAACATCTGGCACCATGGACAATGATCAAAGCATTTCAAACACCTGTGGCATTGTCATCTCCAGGTGAAGGCGATGGTGTGATCAGGAGCAAAGGGAATAGCTGTAACTAGAGAATTCAACAGCAGGATTTGTGAATCACTGTTTCCGAAAACACAGTAGGAGAGAAAAGAATCATACCTGAGAAGGAGTATGTTCAAGGTATGGATTGGAAATTCTTCTTGACAGAGTCTATTTTAAAAGAAAGAAATGGGGAAAAATTAGAACCAAACAGAAATCTTTGTACCGTCAGGGCGCAATATATGTAACAGTGGCAGGGCCAGTAGTTGTCCATGCCAAAAAATGTGCTTAAATCTCAAGTCATGGGTCACAGAAGGTTAACGTCCTTATTCAGTGCAAGTATCTGGTCAACATTCCTTCCAATGGGATAGGATATTCCATTTGAATAGCTCCCAATCTAGAGAGTACAACTTAAAAAGTGCAATAAAAAGACTGGGATGTTTTTGTACTTGTCACTTTACTCTGGATGTGGTTTTGATCCCATTTCTCCTTTCCTTTGCATTTCTACCTTCACCAATCTAACTCAGGCTTTCTTCACTAGACGCCTGAACTGCTGCTTCAGCTTCTCAGTGGATTTCCCTGCAAAACCTCAGGCCATCCTGCAAACCTCAACTAAATAGATGTCCCTAAATTGCCCCCTGGACTTAACAGTGGGTCTCTTATTGCTTACATGAGTCAATCCAAATGCCCCACCTGCCCATCTGCGCCCACCACAGTGTGCCTCCAGCAGGTGTCTAGTATTCTCCTTTTACCTCCCTAAATGGCTTCTTTGACTCAGCAAGATCTCCACTCATACATGCCTCTGCTCAGACTATTCTCCTCATTAGAGAGCCTTTCGACTTCCCTGATAGTTCCCTGAATCCCACCAGACTTTGAAGTCCAGGTTTGTGCAGTCACCTCCTGGGTGAGGCTCCTCCCCTACCCTAGTCCACTGGGGTTTGTCCCTCTTTGGAGCTTTTTGGTTTTTGTACTATTCACGTGGCAGCTCCTGGGTGCCCTGCACTGTGGGCTGTCTTTCTATGTGGGATTCGCCCAACTAATCCACAAGCTCTTTGAGGGAGTGCTGGCAGCTTATATACTGCTTTGCTTTCACAGCATCTAGCACACAACCTTGCCCAAAATTGTTTCTTTTTCTATTCATTTACTTATAGATATTTACATCTCTATACCAATTAAGTATTTGCTGAAAGATTTGAATTATAGGAGCTGATTTTTCCTAACAATCCAGTAAGCAGCACCATCACCCACATGTGCTGAAGCACAATAGAAAACTATTATCATTTCCCATTGCAGTATAGGAAAAAGAACAGAGAAACCAACATTTACTGAGCTTCCAACCTATGTTTAAGAGCTCTTTATACTTCTGTTCCAAGGCCTGCTGTCTTTTGAGATCCCATAGTTTTTAGTCTGCAGCCTCCACTTCTTAGAACCATTTGCTAAATTTATAAAACACCCTGCCAGTCATCACTTTCCAGCATCTGAACCTTCCAACAAATTATAATCTAAAACAAAATTCCTATTCTGCCTCTTCCTCACTCCACACAGCTTTCATACTACTTATCTTCTAGTTAAACTGAAAGAAATATGTGGACTCCCCAGAAATGCCAATTTGTATGCTCTGCTGAAGGTTGGCAATGGCTTCAAAGAAAATGAAATTTATAAGATAGACAAGTCATTTTTAATTCCCATATATTAAAATAAAACATCCCCCACCTCTCTGGTCTAGTCTATAGACACCCCCAATTGGCCCTTCGTAGGTCTTCTGTCATCCCAGCCTAAGTAATGGATTCACTTATTGAAATACTGAACAATTTAAAACTTTCGAATGCACCAGATTTATAATTTGAAGATGAATCATCATGTAAATGATATTTTTTCCCCTAAACAGAGAGACTTTTAAAAATCAATATGGCAGGCCAGAACTGACAATCTTTATTAGTCATCTAACTGCCTGACTCAGCTCAGAAAAGCAACTGCTTCACATGATCTACTTAAAAAGAAAGCTTTTAGGTACAAACAAGTTCTAAAGAACTAGGTAGGGGCTCTTTCACAAAAGAAAGCAAACCACTTCCTTTCTGCTGCCAACCTAAATCTGGCTGTCTCAACACTAGTGTTACACTCTCACAATTCCACTTCATAGAAACTTCCCCTGTGGATGGCTTGTTTCAAAAGATTGGTAAGGTGAGTAAATAAAGCTATGAGATTCTTCCATGCTGACTACATAACAGTGTTAGATAAGCTATTAGTCCACAGAGAATCCACAAGAGCAACTTAACAAGAACTGCCTTTTACAGGACACAATCCTAGATTTGTTGTCAGAAACTCCTGTGAAGCCTGCGCTCAACTGGTCCCAGGGCAGTTTTGTTTCATTAACGCCCTAGGACAGCAGCTCTCAAACTTAGCTGAGCTTGGGGAAGCCACAGAGCTCTCTGTAGAACTCTGTAAAGTTTGATTTGTCAAACTTAAAATAACTACCATAACTCTGTACTTTTTTAGAGTCCACTTTACGTAAGTTGTTGGTGTTGACCAAAAACAGCAAGTGCCCAAGACTTAAAGAAAAAAGAACATGAAGGAATCATCCATTCACTACCTCATTTTTAATAGATATTGGGAAAGGATTGTTATGTAATTTTATCGGGGAATACCATGGGCCAGCTTACAGGAATCTGAGAATAGCTGCTCTGAGTCACCTCACCAATTGCTCTCCCAGCATTTACCTGAAAGAGTATCACAAGAACACCCTGAAAATGCACCTCTCTCCATTTTACTATTCTTTCCTGAACATACAGTTACTCAGCTGTTTTCATCCCATCTTTGAATCCCTTGGTTTTATTTCTCCTCTCAGCATTCCAGGGCTTAATCTAATCACTCCTGCCAACAAACTTCCATTCATTTCACATTTATGAAGCACCTACTGAGCTGTGGGAGCTTCCAGAAACATACATATGAACAAGACACCATCCCTAATTTAGAAATCCATTACCAGAAGACATAGGATCTAAATAACACTTTAAACCCATGAATTCTCTTTCTTGATCCTGATTTCCTATCAATTTACCCTATAATCTCGAATGGCTGGCCCAATGGATGCAGGGTGTCCTCTTTTAAATGGCTCTCACCATAACATCTCATAAATACAATGCCCAGATGAGTTGATGATTCTTTTTCTGCCTTTATTTCCAATTTCCTAGAATTACTTAAGCCAGATACAATGATTCTCTCATGAAAGATATATGAATACCACAGGGAGAAAACTAGTAACAATACAAATGAAATTAGATTTTAATTCAAATTTATTTCTTCTCCTTTCCATTTTAATGAACCATGGAAAACGATTCCCTAAATGATTCCAGCAAATCTCATATTTTAAACATGCATAATAAAATTGAACCCTTTAGTACTCACAAATGAATTTCCTGAAAATAGCATAACACAAAAGAATAATTGGTTAGCAATCATATATTAACTTTTTTTTTTTTTTTGAGTTATGTGTCCACTAAAGTTAAACTGTAATAGTCTGTGAGGCTGGGTCTGAACCAAGCATGGAACTCATTCCTGAGTCACTGAAAATACCTTGCTAAACTATGAAACTATCAAACTTAAGTATGATAGACTTAAAGCACATTTTTTATCAGGTCTTAAAGGACATGCCTTAATATTCTCCTTGGACTGAGTTAAAGTACTTAGGCTACTAAGAGGAGAAAGGAATGAAAGGAGAAAGACTGAATCACTTCAATCACCATAGAAGTATGACTGCTCTGTTACAAACAGGAACCAACGAGATCTACCAAATTTATTGATAACTTGAGAATTCATTCAAGACAACTGTCTGTCACCTTCAGCCATTGTCCTTTTCCCATTCTGAGTAATCAATAGAATACGAAGATGTTAACGTGGAAGAAGTATACGAGATTTCTTACAATCCTAGGAAGCCAAAAAGCTTCATAAGTAACTGGAGGGCACGTATATTAAGAGATTACAGACTAAAACAATAGAGGCTCTGATCTTTATTGTTTTAAGACAGTGGGTTCCTTTTAAGCAGGGGGGATAAACTTATATCTCAGTCAAAGCTTGATCAAGGTTAAAAAGACAGAATCCCAACCAGTATGTTGGCTTGAGAATTACAGAGTCATCACAAGTTAGGCATAATGCAAACTGGAGACATGAACCAATTGCTGAAATGGAAGGGAAGGGCACTACTTCTCTTTCTGCAAGCTCTGGTCCAATTCAAGCCCACAACCATTTCCTCAGGGATCCAAGGGATGTGCTCCCAACAGTCAGTCACACCCACAAAGGCCATTTGTAATAATATCTTCTCAACATAGCCTGGCCACACCAAAGTCAATGATGTTCTCGAAATTATATTTTTCTACAGCCCTGTGATGTCATAAGAAAACAGAATGAAAGGGAAGGTGACAGAAATGCATACTGAGCATCTCCTTTGTCTTAAGCACTTCCCCCATATTAGTAACTGCACCCACCTATTCATATGTTTACAGACAAAAGGCCTGAGCGTCAGAGAAATTAAGAAATTTATTTAAAGCCCCAGAGCTGGAAAGTTACAGCGCTAGGACTAAAACAAAAGTGATTGATTCCAAAGCCACCACTCTACTGTAACACACTGCATGTTATTAAATAATAAATAATTGAGTTTCTACGATGTGCTAGAGCTTGTACTAAGTATTTTACAGGCACCACATATCACTTAATCCTTGAAAAACTATGAGGTGGGAGGAACTATTATTAATCCTATTTTGCAGATGACAAAACTAGACTAACAGAGGTTAAGAAATTCACCCGAGTTTGCAACCCAAGACTCTTTAGTTACTGCTCTATAGACATATCTCACAACATAGATTGTGACAACTGAAGAGTAACATGACAAGTGCATCTAACAGCATGAAGGAGTCACAAATAGTATTCACTAGATCCAGCAGTTCTCAACGCTGGATGTAAATTAGAACCATCTGGGAAACTGAAGAAACAAAAACAGGTGTTCAGGTCTCACTCTAGACCCACAGAATTAGAACCTCTAGGAGCAGAAACTGGGCAGTTTTTGCCACGCTCCCCAGGTAGTTCTAATGTGCAGCCTGGTTTGAGGAAAAACTGTAAAAATCAGTGGTTGAAATTGGCAATTTGAACCTCTCATCATCCACTTCAACTATGAGGCT